CAGAGATTCTTGAGTTCATGACCTACTTCCACCACACATTATACCTGTGGCTTTGAAAAAGTCACTTAACCTGTTGGAACATTAATTCCCRCATCAGCATCAGAGAAAGATTGAGTCACTGAGAATCAATAGATCTCTATACACCACACGATTGTCCCCATTCGTTTTGCTCATTTTCTCCCTTTTCTTTCAACTTTTTATCTCCAACAGGTTTCAAGAGTATTTTCCAGAATGTACTATTCAGCCTCTGAACATCCCTTTCTTGCTTATCCCTACTCTGTGATCTCTTTTTCTGTCTGCTTCATCAAGAGCTGAGAAACAGACTTCTGGGCAAAAAAAAAAAAAAGTCACTTCAGAGAATATAAATCCATTGCTAAATTAACTTCACCTTTAGTCACTAATGGACAGATTTACTTTTATCTTCAATAATGACATAACTTCAGTAGAAGCTAAGCAGGGGCTGCTAACTCTTACTTTCAAGATGGTAGAGCTGTGTATGTTTTTATTCATTGTTGAATCCAAGGACTTAGCAAATAACCCACTAAACACTCATTCTTAAAACATTTGTTGAGTTTACTGCTCAATTTGAAATGCATTTAGTTATTCAAAGAGACCAGATGTTTCTCAGTATTTAGTCTGTTACCTCCATCCCCATYCTTAAACTAAAAGCTACTGCCCAGGTTAAGAGAACTCCACGTTACTGTGACTGGAGATAATGCCAAGCACTGACCCACCAGTGATTACACAGGCCAGCAGTAGCTGATGCAGAAAGAGTGCTGGATTAATATGATTTCATGAACACAACAATGCCTATATTCCAATATAGCAAGTAAAATAGSAAATGTTCAAGAGTGAGAGCTCATAGTAGGTGGTTCCCAAAGGTTTACGTATGAATATCTAGATTTGCAGTTGGGGTTGGGGAGGTGGGACAAGTAGTGAAGGAGACTTCAGCTGTATTTTGATACATTTTTTTATTTTTATTTTTTTGACATTTTAACTATATTTAATGTTTCAACCCAGGAGCATGGTAGATCTTTCCACTTATTTAGGTTTTTTTTAACTTATCTCATGAATGTTTTATAGATTCAGTGAAATTCTTTTAGATTTATCCTTAAATATTTCATATTTTATGCTATTATAAATTACATAAGAAATTTGTATTTGTTGCTAGTATATACAGATACAATTTATATTTGAATATTGGCCTAGAAGCATTTTAAGTGTTTTCCAGTTTGTACATAGATGGTTATGTCATCTTCAGATAAAGTTAACTTCTTCCTTCTCAGTCTGGATGCCTTTACTTGATCCTCCACTACAGCAATGAACAGAAATAATGAGAGAACAGTTTTACCTTCTTTATTAGATACAGGACTGTTTGGGATATAAACTTCTTGAGAGCACTGTGGTTTGCATTTTTCAAGGAATTTGCCTATTTCACACAAACTCTCAAATTTATTGACATAAAGTTGAGGTAGTATATCCTTTATATTTCTATGGAATTGGTAGTAATGTCCCTGATTTTTGATTTAAGTAATTTGAGTCTTCTCTYTTTTTTTCCTTAGTTCACCTACCTAAAAGTTAGTCAAAGAACAAACTGAGTTTCATTCATTCCCAGCTTTTTGGTATTTTTATTATGAACGAATGTTGAATTTTGTCAGGTACTTTCTCTGAATCATCTGAAACAATCAGGTGGCTTTCCCCTTCATTTGTTAATACAACATATTATATTGACTGATTTTTCAAATGTTGAACCATTCTTGCATTCCAGAAATAAATACCATTTGGTCATCATTTATATTTCTTAAATGTGCTGCTGAATTTGGTCAGCTAGTTTGAGGATTTTTGCATCAATGTTCATAAGTGATTTTGCCYTCTAGTTTTCTTTCTTGTAGTGTCTTTGCATTTCCACCTCTTTCTTGATAACTTCAAGCAAGAATCAAGGAGAACAGTATCAGCCCAACATTACCCAGGGAACTGTCCTTGAATATAACTAGTAATGAGACTGAATCAGAAAATTAAAAGTCTCTGAGAAAAAAACCCTTGAGCCTGATGACTTCACTGAAGAATTGTACTGAACATTTACAGAAGAGCTAATGCCAATCATTCTCAATCTGTTCCAATAATTTGATGATAATTTAGGAAGCTCCTTGAGTCCAGCATTGATATATTTTTTAAATGCATGTCTTTTATCCACTTGTAAAAAGAAAATGCAGAGAAACAAGAAAAAGAAGGGAGGAGAGGGGTTTTAAAAAAAAAAGAAAAGTGTAAAAAAGGAAAGGGAAGGAAAAAAAGAAGAAACAYTCTCACTTTAGTTAGTTTTATCACAAAATCTTTATTCAAAAAAATAGCTTTTGGAGCTGGGTGCAAAGTGGCAAAAGCCTGAAATTCCAGCTACTCAAGAAGCTGAGGCAGAAGAATTCTAAGTTCAAGGTCAGCTGGGGAAACCTAGCAAGACCCTATCTCAAAATAAAGTTTTAAAGAAGGGCTGGGGTTGTAACTCAACATTAAAGTGTTTACCTGGCATTTGCAYGGCCCTGAGTTCAATTCCTAATATTGMAAAAAAAAAAAAAAAAAMMWKGRAAAAWRAAAAAAAATATGTGTGCACATGTATGTAGGTATGTATGTATGTATAGTTTTYAGCTGGAGTGTAGCTCAGTGGTAGAATGCGTGCTTAGCATGTTCAATGCCCTGGTTCAATCCCAGGTACCAAATAATAATAATAATAATACAATCTTTGTATAAGACAATAGAGCTCAGTCAAAATAATACAATGTCTTCAACTTGTCCTTCTAAGTAACAAGAGGCAGTCAGGCCACCAACAATCAGTACTCACTCCTATTTCTTTATCTTTCCATTGTGTAATTCTTAGAGATAAATAAGCCAATAAGGGTTTAGCTCCCAACACCCAGTGTAACAGCTATGGAAAAAGGAGACCAGTGAAAAGTTCCTTCTGCTCTGATGACAGAGGTTGAGAGAAATACAATAAAATTCTAACTTGGAGATACACACTGGGATGGATACACATAACATTTATTCCATTTCACCGTTTGGTCAAAGACCTTAATATTATTCCTCCAGCACTCCTTGGGATGGGCAGAATGGGGACCCTCACATGAAAATTGTGGTCMAGAAGTAAAGAAAGCATGATGATCACCTCTTCTGGTAGCCACATTATTTTGGAAAAGAAATAAACCCCTAAACCCCAAACAAGTTCTCTTGGAATTAGAAAATGAGGCTTTAGAAATAGGCGAGATAAATATATATATATATATATGGTTTGTTTGTATCTCTTGATCTAATAAATGGGTTTATTTGCTAAGTACCTGATGTCAGAAAAGTTTTGATTCAGGTAGAAAAGGGAACAATCCCCTTCCTGATAGGGTGGTGGTGTATATCTCTGTATTGACACATTAATAAGAGACAAATATAAATATATCTGATCATAGTTTTACATGGCATGGGAGCCTTCAGATCCAAAGATTAAGGGTGAATAATCCTGTTTTATACTGTTTTTGCTATCTATTTTATACTGAGTGGGGGAACCCAGCAAGACCTATACATTTAGATTCTTCTTGTTCTCTCTGCAGCATTCCATTCCCTAGGTATGGGGGGCAGGATCCTTCCTGAAATGGAGATCTTATGATTTACTGTCAGAAAACGGTAAACTAGAGAATTTATTTTTGTTTGGCTTCAAAACAAAAATCTAAGGAAATCAGAACCTATTTTCAAGTTTATGCCTTACCTTGGGGAAAGRGGGTTTTAGTTTTTATCAACTATCTTGAACATCAGAAATTCTAGCTTCTATGGCTTTCCTTGGGGGAAGTGGGGGATAAAGGTGAGTRGGAAACAGAGGGTCAGGCGAAGGGAAAAGAGGTGCTTTACTTCTAAGGCCTTTACTTTGGGGTATCATTCTCCCAACTCCAACATAGGAAAACTACGAATGTGGGCTTGGACAGACTCAACAGGCTGTAAATGATTAACACTCTCTAATAAGCGTGCCACTACAGTGCCATTTGATGATGAGAGAAAGAAACAGACCTCTGATAATTGGTGTATCGAGAGAAAAGGAGTTAATGAATAAACCGAGAGGTATTTGGGGACTGGGAACCTGCAGCCACAGTTTTATTTCCTAATGCCCTATTAGACACAAGTCCACCAAAAACATTTTGTCTCATTTTATAGGCAGTAAAGTTGAGGCAGAAAGAGGGTTAATGATTCCACCAAGGTCACATGATAAAGATAATACATTTGTGAATAATGAGAAATCAAACATTSGGTCTCACAGATTTCCATCTTACTGGAGTTCTTTTTTTAATTTTTAAAAATGTTTGTATGTGTTCTTTTTAATTACACATGACAGTCAAATGTATTTTGACATATAATACATACATGGACTATAAATTTCCATTCCTGTGGTTGTACATGATGTGGAGTTACACTGGTCCTTACTGGAATTCCTATGATTTCTCATTATATCTRGTTACATATGTTCATATATTTACAGGGATTTTGAGTGTTGTTTTTATTATGGTAAAGTATATAATGCATAAAATTTACCATTTTCCTTCCTTTTGAGTGTAAATCCAGCAGCATTAAGTACCTTCACGCTGTCGTGCAATGATCTACCACCATAAATTTTTCTTCTGCTCCACTGAAACCCTGTACCCATTAAACACATTCCCATTCCCACATCCCTCTAGTCCCTGGCAACCACTTCTGAATTTTATTTTACAGCAAAGAGAAGTCGTGACCTATGAGCTTGGTTTACAACCAAAAAAAAAAAAAAAAAAAAAAAACAACAGTAATTACATGCAGAAGACAGACGACAATGAAGGAAAGAGGTAAATTCAGAACCAGCTGTCCAGTACTTAGAAGACTCAGTGAGTGTGCTGGGTATGCAATGTGTGTGTGTGTGTCTTTAAAAGACTCTCCACCTCCCTGCCCGCCTCCTTACAGTTTGCTACTGGGTTTCTCTTCCCCAAGTTTCCTCAGTCTCCTAGAGGAGCTAGCATGGCCAATTTCCTTTGTAATTTTGGAAGCAGGTCTGTTGCCATGGAATCTACATTCTGACTGGAGTCGAGGTGTATAAAGGTGACCATTTGTTTTCAGTTTCAAAGATCTGGCAAAAAGATAGGTTGTTGCTCTTCTTCTGGAAAAGCCTGACTGGTAGGATTCCTTTAAGGGCTCAGCCCCAAGAGCTTTATCCCATCCCCTCGCCTACTTAAAAGTTAAAGCTCCAGGAAACCTCCGAAGGGGATTCTGCCGGCTCCATCACTTCCCCCAAATGGCTAATCCTGGAGGTGGTGCTGTTTGCAATGGGACGCTTCACAATCACAAGAACCCCAGCCATGGCTCGCAAAGTGGAAACGGCACCAAGAATGGAATCATGAAAGAAGCCCAGGTAAGAGGCCATCCCCTGCTCCCCTTGCTCTGCACATTTCAATACTGTCTTTGCAAAGCTGTTTGAGGCTAACTTGGAAGTCCTCTGGTGAAGTGTATTTGATGTGTCTGGGCTTCTCATCGCAGCTAGTATTTTGACAAGCTCGGCTGCCAAAAAGTTTAGGTGTGGAAAAAAAAAAGGAGGGAATTCTTTCTCTTTAGAAGACTGAGCACACAGAGACCCACACAGCTTTAGATTTTTCGAAAACACACACTTAACCTACTACACTTTCAGTTTCTCTCAAGCACTGAGGGGGCAGGGCTGTGAAGGTTCAGACTCTTCAGCTAAATTGCAGTCCATCCAGAAACCTGTTACCTTCACRATGCTTCAGAAGGAAAAAGAAGAAATGAAAGGAAATTTTGCTCCCATTATGGGATGTAGATGGCATTTTTCCCTGGTACTTGCTAAATGTCTCTGAAAGGCGAGTTGTTTTGGGTGTTTAATAGAGCATTGTCAGAGTTTAGACAACTTGATTTGAGTGCAATCTTTTGAAATTTGGCATCACAAAAATTCCTTCCTGAAACATTTTAGAAAGTGTGGCTCACTGTAACATGCATGCAGAAACCAAAGTAGTGTCTTTAAAACAGACTTTTTAGGGTCACCCCACCACCACCCAGATTTGATGCTTTTATTTATTTTTTTTCTTTCTGCTTTTACTTTTGCTTTAATAGAAAGTTGGAAGGGAATGTTTAAGGGGGAGCAAGAATTCAAGAAATTATTCAAAGAGGAGCCTGGATCTGTGAGTTTCTTGTTTAAAGGCAGTTCCACAGTTCCACACTTCCCACACAATGCCCTGTCACTCTGCTCCTGCAGAAGGGGTGAGCTTATCGGCCCTGGGTGCAAACTTAAGTAGCCAAACRGGTAGCCTTATTTGTTGAGAAATGGGAAGCTACACAGGGAACCCCAGGCAATCTTCCATCATTCAGGCATCCTAAGGTGTCGGCATTCACCTAGGGGAAAGGTCAGATTATTCTAAAATCACAGTACAGGTGGAGCTAGCTGGAGCCAGTCCTCCATTCATTGAATTAAATCTGTGGGTCCAGTTGCAAGAGGCAGGAGGCACTATAGAGTCTGGTTTGTGTGTAAAAATTAGTGTGATCCCAAAATGTATTCCCCTTTTCACATTCCCCTAGCCTGGGAAGTATCTACCAGAATCTCAGGCCTGACCTCTCCCAACTGAGTATATGAGCAAGGTAAAGAGAAAGTGTTCATTCTCTGCTATTAGCATGGGGAAAGTCACAATAATATCAACATGTATTCATCATTCAATGTGCATTCAGATCACTGCCCAAGATGTTCCTTGTCCCGGAAATGTCTGTATCTCATTGACCATTCACCCATGCACCTTCTGGATCATTCTGTCCCTGAGGGCTCTTTTTTGAAAACAAATGCCTTCAAAACTTGTTTTCCCTTTCTCTATCTTAGTTTTATAACCATACTCTAATGTTTGAGTTTAGAGACTTTGTGTATGTTATAGTTACTGCTATGTAAGGAAAGACTTTAAGATCCTAAAGATTTCCTACCAACTGTACCTACAAGACTACCAAAAACCTTGAATATTGAGGCTTCCCTAATAGCAGGCAAAAATATAAGGGCTGCTGTTGTCTTTTCTGACAGCTCTTTCTGAAGGGCCATCCAGAGCCTGTTGGCTAAGATATATTTAGGTGTTGCTAAGTTGAAATTGGCTTCCACCAAGAGCCTCAATTACAGCTTAAAAAATATTTTCCAAAAAGAATAAACCCCAATGAGATCACAGTGTAATACAGCAAAAAGGGCCTATTTTCTTCTTCCATGATGTGAATGATGTTGTCTTTACTATCATGATCCTCAGTCACTAGTTTCATCCCATAGACCCTTTGACAAACTAGGTCTTGAACAAAAACCTTACACATATCTGAGACAGTGGTCTTACAAATACTTTCTTCCAGGCTTAGCATCTTCCAGATAGAACATCATCTAAAATTCTTCCACTTTCTCTGAAAATTCCCTCACCCTTTCTCTACCAGCTTTTTTTTTTTTTTTTTTTTTTGCAACCATATAGAAATAGAGTTATCTCTTTTATATATTGAGGGATCCTTTAAGGTTCTGTTGATGGAGGGTTTGGCATAACAATTTGAAAATCCCTGTTAGACAGTAGCTTGGGAATCCTCCTTCCTTTTGTTCCAATGTAGTCAGGTTTGAACCCCCTCACTCTGGCTTGCAGGCTTGCTACCCCAACTTCAAGGCTAGCAAGGAACCACACACTTTACATTCTGGGAACCTTCTATAGTTCCTTTCTGAAGTTGTTTGTTTGTTTATTTATTTTGTTCTATCACATTGCCTTATGACGTTTTCCCTCCTCTTCTTTTCTATAAACCCCATTTAACCTGAAGATTCACTGACAGTGGTTTTCAACAGTGCTTAGATCTATTTCTTTGTTTACTGCTAATCCGTCCTTCTATCTGACTTCTAATAGAACACTGTTATCCTAAAGGATTCCTTCTCCCTCCTCATGAGCAAGTCCAAGGAAAATAGAGAAGGGGCCTTTAATGTCCTTAATCCATAAACACGAGGTTTCTTATAATTTCCTATTGACTTAATTTCATATAATTAGTTTGAATTATATTGTCTCCATAATTGCTTTTTAATTCACACTAATTATTTCTGACCTGGCTACATGCATTTATTCGGAAACCTGAACCTTGGGCAGTAGACATTGTGTTTTCATTGGTCTTAACTGTGTGCCTCTGGATATGCATTTTTATTAGGATGAGCTCTGCATTTTCTTATTTAAATTGATTCTATAGGATAAAGAAAAAAAATAGCGAGGTTTTCCTCTAACCATTCCTTTTCTGAAAAACAAAAAGTCCTGAAGTTAAAGACAATCCAGTGTTTATGGAGTTCTTGAACTGAATATTGTAATATTACCAGGTATGGAGTTGTAGGTCCTTAGAGCTAGTTGCTTTTACTATCTTTCATTCACTCATTCACCAGTAATTAATAAGAATCTGTTATCCTTGGSACATGTAAAGATAAAAATAAGTTTATAATTTACCTACTAGGAGAAAACATTTATCATATTTTTCATATTAAAGTTAAATGAGCTGGGCACAGTAGCAAATGTGTRTAATCCCAGCAGCTTAGAAGGCTGAGGCAGGGGGATCACAAGATCAAAAMCAGCCTTAGCAAAAGTGAGGCACTAAGCAACTCAGTGAGACCCTGTCTCTAAATAAAATACAAAWYAGGGCTGGGGWTGTGGMTCAGTGGCAGAGTGCCCTGAGTTCAATCCCTGKTACCTCCCCCAAATAAAAGTTAAATGATAGTGTAGGACAAGAGCTATCATAAAGCAGGTATGATTTAAGGGCAAATTAGTGSTATACACAGAGAAGTTCAGAGAGACAGGGGAGAAAGTGACTTATATCAAGATTCTGCCAGGTACCAGGACCAGGCTAAGCACATAGCCCCATGAAGTGGCAGCATCATGCACCTTACAATGATGAAGAATCATAAATCATTGAGGACCTTGAACAGAATCACAGGTAGCCTAGCCCAAATCTAAACCCAAATTCGTGTTGCTCCGGCGCCAGTTTCCTTTCCACTACTTTCTAGGGAAGCATAAAGTAGGGATTATAGGGGCAGCTTTGGGGAACTAAAAGGACTCAAACTGAAGCCTGAAATATTGACAATGACAGATAAAATGGGGAGYTTATTCCTAGGGGACAAATGAGGAAATGAAGGGTAAGGAATCCCAGAGATGAATGTAGGAGTTGTTAGAGAGAGGGCACARGAAACATCATAAAGTATAATGACTGATCCTGGGGTCCCACAGTGCTCTCTGAGGACATGCCCTCAATGACCTAAGGACCGCTCACTGGGCCACCTCTTACCTTTTCCACACTACTTCCCAACTCCATCACCATGGGGACCAAGTTTTCTACACGTGAACCCTAGAGAGACAAACTCAAGCCATTTCCAAACTATGGACTCCACCCCTGCACCCAAGGCTTGTGCCCTTCTCTCTTTTTTTAAAATTTTTAAAAATTTGTTTTAATTAGTTATACATRACAATAGAATGCATTTATGCACTCTGATATATCATACATAGATGGGATATAATTTCTCATTTTTCTGAGTGTATATRTTGCAGAATCATATTGGTCATACAGTCACATATATACACACAGTAATAATGTCTGTTTCATTCTGCTATCTTTCCTATCCCCAGATCCCCTCCCCTCCACTCCCATCAGTTTCCTCTACCTTAGATGACACTATTCTTCCCTAGTTCCCCCTCCCCCCCACTTATTGTGAATTAGCATCCACATATCAGAGATAACATTTGGCCTTTGGTTTTGTGGGATTGGCTTATTTCGCTTAGCATGATATTCTTCAACTCCAACCATTTACTGGCAAATGCCAAAATTTCACTCTTCTTTAAATCTGAGTAATATTCCACTGAGTATATATACCACATTTTCTCTATCCATTCATCTATTGAGGGACACCGAGGGTAGTTCCATAGTCGAGCTATTGTGAATTGAGCTTCTCACAATGCAAAATATATTCATTCCATCTCTAATAGTCCTGAAGTCTTACTTCATCTTAGCATCACACAAAAGTCCAAGGCCAGACACACAGCAAATTTCTCAAAGCTCTGAGTTCCTATAAAATCAGAAAGCAAGTAATAGACTTCCAAGATACAATGACAATGAGAAGATAAGTTAAACATTCTTATTCCAAAAGGAAGGAGTAATCACTCCAAGGCAAGACAAAACCCAGCCCAGAACACATTAAATCTTAAAGCTCCAAGTCTGGCATCTTGTGCACATAGAGAGACAGGTAGGCACCCAAGCCTCCAGCAGCCCCGCCCTTACAGCTTTGCTGGTCAAAGGCCACATGGTTACTCTCTCAGGTTTGTTTTGCACTCTGCTTGCAGCTTTCCCTAGCAGGTGTTGCACACCACCTGTAGCCATTCCTTTGGG